GTACTTTCTTTTTTCTTTTTTTTTTCTTTTTTTTTTTTTTTTCTTTTAAATCTACTTTTACTTGTGGTTTCATTTCATGTTCATGCTGAAAGATACTGAGCATTCTTAGCTCTGGGCTAGCTACAAGATTTACTGTTTCCCCTGATAGTGTTATCAGTGGACTATCCTACCATGATAAACCACAACTGCAATACTAATAGGTTTATAATGATGGCTTAAACTCTGCACTTTTGTAAGCATTGCAGGCTTCACTCACCTTGTTCAAGTGGCTGGCTTTTAGTTGAAGTAGTTTTCATCTTGAGTGCCTCCCTAACAGACATGTCACAGCAGGAGCCTTTGTTAGTGTCTTGGTCACTGTCAGCCTGATCACTGTCCCCATGCCCGCTGTCCCTCAAGCTGGCTCTTTCTGGATCCTTGAACGTGGAGCTACTGAAATACATAGTTAAAAAAAAAAAAAAAAAAAGAGTTGTATTTACTTGTTCAAAGTTGAATTGTACTCTCTGGCAAAGCAATTTTGACAAGAATGCAAATGGGGAAGCCGAGAAAGTTATTTAATAGGCCTTACCTTTGAACAAACTGCTGCCTGCTGCCCATGTAATTGGGCTCTGCGGGAAAATTGTCTGTCTGTGAAAGAGAAGGAAAAAAATACGTATAGTTGTACACTGGACAAATCTCCTGCAGAGCAACAAGATTTCCTAGAGGAGAAATGATTAATAATTCAAAAATTCCCTTAATCTTCAGATTTGTACATTTTAATTAAATTGGAAAATGCTGGCATGTAATTATGTGCTCAGAACAATTAAATGATTCCGGTCCGCAAATTACCTGCTAAAGTAAACAATGAAGCTCCAATAAGTGGCATTCTCTGTTAGTAACCTGACAGATGACACTGTTTATGTTTTTTCATTAGTAAGATATTAAGACTGATGGTTATTGAAAATGAGAGAAAAAATTACTTTTGCATATTACAAAAGCGAATTATTCAATAATACTAATTTTTAATCATAATTACATCATTTACGGGGATCCTGAAGCCTTTACTGCTGTAATACAATTTTATATATTGCTATATTAGTCTTCAATAGAAACCAAACCAAACCAAACCAAACCAAAAACACCCGTAGAGGAAAAACAATCCAGAAAATTTGTGGCTGATTAGCTGTGGGCATTTTGTAAATGCTACTGGAAGAGTGCAAGTATGAAAATATTTGGATTCTCTCTTTAATTTTCATCAGTATTAATAGCTATGTCAGAATAATGAAGACTACACATATGAGCAAGAACATTAAATGATTGTTTCAGACAAGCAGTTTTTAAAAGAAGATACTTTCATTAAGTCTGCCAGGAGTATATTTTTAGTAGCATGAGCAAAGTAACTGTAGAGGTAGAAGTATTTACAGCATCCAGACCAACATGGAGTCCTGCCAAAGGGAACTGAATTCCCCTTGTATCATCATCTGAAGTTCTTTGGGAGAAAGAGAGACTTCATCTTTCACAAAACACCACATACTGTACATTCACACACGTCACTTCTTCTTGCAGCTGACCTAGTGACAGAGCTTCTACTGTTTTCTGCCTCACTTCATATCACACCACTGTGCTTCACAGCAGCTATGAGTTTTGCGGCAGCATCTAGTGTAACGGTATCAGTAACAGAGGCAGCACTCAGTTAATGGAGCAGAAGGCCCAAGGTAAGGTTTAATCTCGTACAACAAGCATTTACACAAGTGATTGGTCTATTGAATATTTGGGTTTCCCTGCCACTCCACACACCATTTTTTTCTAGCTTTGTTTTGGTTTTATAGGTAGGTCGTAATTGGAAATGTTTGCTACTTTTTGTATGGTTGAAATACTGGAGCTTGGAAGATATGCATGAAGTTACATCCCAAATTTAACAGCCACTGCTGTTTGCAACAGAAAGTAGGCAGCCACCTGCCACTCTCAAGGTACATGTGAAATAGATGTGCCTCTATACCATGGATATCTCATGTGATTTAGGGAAAGGACAGAAGATAAAAAATTGTCTTCTGTTCATCATGTACAAAGTCAATTTACAATGTACTTTCTTATGTTTTCCAGTTAAATCCTTTGAGTCAAAATTACAACACATCATGATCATATTTTGAAGCTGTTTCTAATTAAGCTGTGGAGTACACAGCATTGTATGTGTTATTAAAAAACAGTCTGATGCATTATCAGTGAATTTTCTTTTATGATAACTGTATGACAGAATCACTTTTTACTCATCTGTTTTCAAAATATGACATAAAGCACCTATATTTATAATTTTAAATTATTCTTTATCATATAAAAATTGCATATAATTTGGAAATCTGGGTGTTTATGTCCATCTAGAGACTTGTTCTTCAGCAGCATTGTTAAAAGATGAGCTCATGAAAGTTCTTAAATGCTGCCTAAGAAATGCAAACAATATGCTTTATTACAGAAGGAGAATTCTGGAGATCTGGGACATCAAGCTCGGTGTTGTGTCACTGATCTGCCAAGTTGGCACTTCAGGCTGATGATTTCAGCTACAGGTCTCCAAACTTTTCTAAATCTAGCCACTTTAGTTACAGGGCAGTTTAGAGCTTTGTACTTAAAACCAGACAAGATTCTGGATATAATATATGCAATTAGAATAAAAGCTTGTCGAGAGAGTCTAGCAGAGGGCTATGAGGATGTCTGGGGGACTGGAACACCTACCTTATGAGGAGAGGCTGAGAGACCTGGGGCTTTTTAGTCTGGAGAAGAGAAGACTTAGGGGGGATCTAATTAATGTGTATAAATAGATGAGGGCTGGGTGTCAGGAAGAAAAAGGCAACCCCTTTTTACTTGTGCCCTACAATACAACAAGGGGCAATGGATACAAGCTGGAGCACAGGAAGTTCCACCTCAACATGAGGAAGAACTTCTTTACTGTAAGGGTTCCAGAGCACTGGAACAGGCTCCCCAGGGAGGTTGTGGAGTCTCCTGCCTTGGAGACTTATAAGACCCATCTGGATGCGTTCCTGTGTGACCTGCCCTAGACTAGGTGGTCCTGCTATGGCAGGGGGGTTGGACTCAATGATCTCTGGAAGTCCCTTCCAACCCCTAACATTCTGTGATTCTGTGATGTTTCAAATTACAAAAACAAACACTGGAAAGAAAAATAAACAAACAAAAAATAATTTAAAAATGGTGTCATAAAGAGAAATAGCTGTGTTCCTATATGTAATTGCTTAAATGTAGCATATCATATTTGCAAAGCAGCCTTAATTCTGACATGTATTATCTTCTTCTTGCAAATTGTAAGATAGAATCTCACTTGTTTGCAGCATATCTACCTCATAAATAAGCACTTGTAGTCATTATGACATTCATAGAGCTCAATAATTCTCAACCCAAATAATCCTGTACTGTTGTAGAACTCATGTCTGTTTTCTAGGTCTAATATCTCAACTCTAGATTCTCAGAAAAACTGACCTTATGCTTTTACTTATGTAAGACATCTGCCTCCTCCTAAACACAGCTGCCACTAGAATCAACATTTCCATTGTTAATGTCATTGTCAGGCAAAATGCTTGCTATAAACTGCATTTTCATCAATCCTCTACCATTAGAAAAGTCAGACTTCTGCCTTGAAATTAATTATAGCACTTCTTTAGAGATGGTGCTAAGAATTCATCTGTAAGTTGAACTATAGTGAGAACTGGTCATACTTTTTGTTTCTGCATTTTCATATGGGGGGCAAAAAAAAAAAAAAAAAGTCATTTTACACAGTCCAGACTAGCCAAGATATAAATTTTAAAACAAAAATTATGACCACATCTTAGCTGCTGTCCTAAAAATGGGAGCAGCTTCTTAGAAATTCCATATTTATGGAAATCATTAATGACCTTTAACTAGAAAATAATTTGACTGATTTCCTTCATATTGTATTTTGCAGCAATATAAACAGTTGGGTGCCACATTACAGTGAGTTCACTGCTGGGAAAAAAAAAAAAAAAGGCAAATACTTGATAACCATTTACAGCCACAGAGCTTGGAGTTGAGTTCTCTCCCTTCTGCTCTAAAAGCATTAGAGCTTCTTTGATGAAATATGGAAGTATGATGCTTGTGCTAAGCTGTAACAGAGCACTTTGAGATACAGGCAGCAACAAGAGAACTGCTTCATGTATAATAATATCTAAACCAAAATTGGGATAATAAATAAACATTTAATTTTAAGGCTAGGCAGTTTAGACAAATCTTAGAAAGGTAAGCATCCACTTCACAGTGGATTAGAGAGATATAAATGTCTAATTCCCTTAAACAATTTTTTTTTCCTTAATCCCAGCTGAAATGAGAGGTCATATACTTACAATTTTTACACTTTAACATCTATGGAAGTGATATTACACATTTCAGCTCATGCATTAATCATACCTCTTTACACTGCATATCTGTAACTTGAAGAAATGAGTGCTACTTTAGAAATCTATCAACAGCAAATAAACTCTTTGTTCTCTGGGCATACAGCCCTTTCTAGGAAATCAGATCTACTGTATCTTTCTGTCTCCAGTTTTAAGGTAGGTTTCCATTCACCTGCTGATAACCATCTAAAAGTTAGTCACCTACTCTAGGCTAATCAGCTAAGATGCCTCTATAAGCACTGAGATATACAAGATAATCTGTCCCATTTGAGGCATCTGGCTTTAGGTATGTACTGCTCCTGGAAATTACTTTCTCCAGTAATAATAGGACAATGCAGATGACCAGCAAGCTGTTGAGTGCCATAGCTCATGTTCAGTGTCATAGAGTTAAACAGTAAAAACATGGTTTCTGTCTCTGTGATTCAAGTTTGAGGGCTTGAGTGTCAGTTAGGTCATCAACAACTAAGACACAAATTCTTCAGTAGGAAGAAAACATATTTGTACAAATGATCTCTAAAATTAAAGCAAAAGCAGAACTGTCTGCTGCCCTGGTTAGATACCAGAGAATTAAAGTCTGTGGCGTCAATCTAACTGTCTATAGCTGCCCTAGAGAAGAGGTCCTGGTTTTATGGCTCATTTTCCCAGATTATTGGAATCAGTTCATTTCCAAAGAGAATATGCTGTTAAATCATTTAACAGATGTACTTTTTCACAGTTGCCACAATGGCTGCTTTAAAATAGTTTCTTCCATCTATCTGTCCTAATATGTGACTCTAGAGTAAATCTGAATTTTTAGGAACACTGCCATTACTGTGATGTTGCAGAAAAATTCCTGAGGATTTCTATGCACGTTTAATGAAGTTTTCTGAGAAGGATGAAGCTCATAAAAAATGCTGTTTTCAAAGAGATCAGAATGCATATAAACCTTCTAAAAGCTGCCAACGTTTGGAAAAAAAAAAGCTTACTACCTTTCAGAAAATATCTTACAGTTTGTTTAGGTTACCTTTTTCATTGTGTTGAGTTGAGGAAGAAGAAAGCAAAAGAACAGGCGAATTAAACCTGTGCAAAATAAAATTTTACTGGTATAGAGTTTCAGACATGATGATATAATTGCTACAGTCTAATAATGTGACTTGAAGGATCACTTACTGGCCAGTGTTTATGTGAACAACATACAGAATATCATTCTAGTGCTGTTGTCAACAGTCTATAAAACAATTAATTCTATTATGT